ATTCTGTATAACATTGTCAGACAGTCCACCTCGTCTCAGCCTGTCCCTCTCAGGAGCCAAGCCTGGAGAGGTTGACCCAGACTGGGTGTGGCGGCTCAATTTCCAGTTCAGTTTGAGTCGCCGTGAGGCTAAGCTTGGCTATAAACTGTGACGCGTTTTCTAAGAGAAGGTCCATACTGAAGAAAGATAGTGTTACGATATTTAATAAACAAAATCATGACATAGTAACTATGGACAGAACGGTCAACAGAAAAAATGACAGCAGAAGCCCACCCTCTGTCCCCCCACTCCACATCAAACAGGGGACTTGAATAACCAAACCACGCCCATGTGACAGTTACCGGAAGTGCCCGACAAACAAATAAAAGTGACGTAAACAAATAATAATAATACAAATAATGAACTTGGGCTAAGTAGCATTATGGCACCTACAGTCTTCCACTAATTTATACTTTATTAGTTGCCCCTTTTGTTTGTTTGTTTGTTTGTTTGTTTGTTCACCCTGTAAAGCGGCCTTGGGTCCCTTGAAAGGTGCTATACAAATGTAATCTATTATTATCATTATTACTGCTTGAACTCTCCGACATGTGCGGTAGCTCCAAGCCCTCAAATCCTATATATTATTGTCCAACGTATTACATTTAGCTGATGCCGTTATCAGACTACTGTGCAACTAAAAGGTTCAGTTTCTTCCTGAGTAGCATTTTGTTTCTTGGGGAAGTTAGGGAACCAGATTCAAAAGAGACTGATAAGTTACACAATGCAGAAGAAGTGAGGCCAGATCATTACATGTTTAAAACGATGTGCAAATCAATAGTGATCAACTATCCTGGAAAATGTACATTCAAAGATACATCGAAAACATTTTTCTCTTATATCACAAGGCTGTTCTTCCTTAAGGTGTATATTCTCCCCAATACGTGTCCATGCCTTGCATCGTTTTTCAAACATTTCAAGATTTTACAAGCCTTTTTTTACATTATGTATTATTTGCTGTACCTTTGCTGAGATAAACAAGGCAGTCCTTATTTACAGGATTTACAGTTTGAGACTGTGAGACAAGTATCCTGCATGTACAGTGTCAAAAGGGTCATGACAATGTTTTCTCTCAGTGATTGTGATGTTATGTTAAATGTTCGTTGTTTGTGTTTCATGTATTGTGTCTGGATATGTGTCTATGTTGGTGTTGGACATGGAGCTGCTGTGTAGATTAAGAAACTGTGTAGAAAGTTGGGATTTTTCCGCCATTAGAATTTCTTCATGGCCAGAAATGCTGTTATTTCCTAGTTCAGGTTTTGTTTCTCTTTTGTCTGTCAAAAAAGTACCTACCTACCTACCTACCTACACCTACCTACCTACCTACCTACCTACCTACCAATAGTGATCAACTATGAATGGGTGAATGACATGTAAAGCGCTTTGAGGGGTCGTAAAGACTGGACAAAGCGCTATATAAGTACAGTCCATTTACCATTTACCATTTACCTACCTACCTTCCTAGCTACCTAGCTACCTAGCTACCTACCTACCTACCTACCTACACCTACCTACCCACCTGCCTAGCTACCTACCTACCTACCTACCTACCTGCCTAGCTACCTACCTACCTACCTACCTACCTACCTACCTACCTGCCTAGCTACCTACCTACCTACCTAGCTAGCTAGCTACCTACCTACCTACCTACCTACTTACATAGCTACCTACCTACCTATCCATCTATCTATCTATCTATCTTTCTATCCATCCATCCATCCAT